GGGGGGGGGGCACCTTCCCCCCAGGACTCCCCTTGGGTCCGCCCCTGAGCCAGGCATTTCTGCTGTATCCGGGAGTTCTGGAAGTGGGACAGCTTCAGACACCAAAGCCGCTCCAACTGCACAACGGGTCTTGTCAGGTTTTGAGAGTCTAAAGAGAGGGTGTGAAGAGTCGGTAGTTATGAAGAATAACATTGCCCCAAACACAGCTGACTCCATCAGCTTCTGAGAAGCCAATGATAAAATAGGCATGTAAATGGACAGAATTGTAACGATGCTAGAAAAGGAACATACTGACAGTGCATAATATGGCTGCCCTATTGAACTTCTCTGAAAATCTGAAGGGCAATTTGGAAGCTGCCCGAGCTGTTTCTGCAAGTAAACATTGTCGTCTGACTAAATTAGGTTTTTTAAGTAAGGATATTAGCATAACATGTCTAGTTTTGTTATTCAGGGAATGTTTGATTTCCATTTTTCCAAAATATATTTTTCTCTCTTTTTTTCAATCATACATTTTTCAATTAAATAATATTACACACAAATCAAAAACTTTTCCATTTTTTTAACAACACATTCTCCATTAATCTACTATTCCAAAATACACTTTTCAAAAATAATGGAGCTCAAACACCCTCTTAATGTGTGTTAGTCATCTCATACCAAGATTGACGGGAAATATCCTCAAAATTGAAAGCACAAAACATATTTTGACATCTAATTGTAGAAACAAAATGCTTTGTGATTTATTTTGCCAACCATATGCTGCGATCTCATTTCTTCATGCAGAGTATTAAAATTGAACAATACTATATTATTTACATAAACGGATGATAACTGGTCTCATTTAGTGCTATGATCATACACACCATACAATTTCTCTTGCATAAAACTAAGAGCTGCATTCGGTGAAGACAGCTCATGCATCTCGTTGGACGGTTTGGTGATGATAGCCTTGTTAGATTTTGATACCCAATAAATTCGAGCGATGACAATAAAACGATGTCGGGTATTTTATTGATGCCAAAGTGACGGCTTGACTCGGAAATAATTAATACACCTTTGGAGGGCCTAAGTTTGATTTGCATTTAGTCGGGATATACGGTAGCCCATTTATCCTTTGGAGAGTTGGTCAATGTTTAGGTTAGTTGGGGTTTTGTGTTGGCCCATTTGAGGTGTCTCGGCCCATTGGAGATGAGAGTGACTTTTGCCCATATTGTAACCTAATTGTATCCAACTATGTATGTATCCTTTCTAGCCCCATTTTTCTTTTGTGTGTGAGAATGCAATAGAGAGAAGAAATAGAGAGGTATCTGAGAAGAGAGGTGAGGTATTGAGTTTTCCACCATTGCTCCCTTACATTTTTTCGTCCCTTTGTGATATTCCAACCATCACCACCACCATCATCCTTTGTGGGTAAGAAAACTTGAGGCAACCAAGGTGTAAAGAGTTGTTAGGTCAAGCCGGTTGATTAGTGTTCGTTTAGTTGATCTTTCGACCAAGGAATCAAAGATCTCTGAAGGATTTTAACAACAAATAGTATCAGAGCATGTTGTATTGAGAAATATGTGTTTTTTGGGTGTCAAAACCTTTGGAAGAGACTGAAATTGGAGTTAGAAATCGACAAAAAATTGGGAAGAAATTTGTCCAAATTTTTCTTCAAACACCGAGGCGGTGCTAGAAGTGCCACGCGTGGTGGCCGACGACGGCACGTGTCGTCGGCTCATGAAGCCCACGTACAACCACGACGACGTCGTGGAGGAGCGAAGGGTAGGATCCCGCGACGACTTCCAAAAACAGAATGTTGCTGGTGGTGTTACGGACCCTATGGTGTTGTTCGTTTTTAATTTCGAACAATACAGTGCAATCGAACTATTTTTCCCTTTGACGTTCAAGTGTCGCGGTTGCTGGAAGTTTTAGAGTGAATAGTAGCGGCCTTAAAGTAGTGAATTTGCATCTTTTCTAGTTTACGGACCCGTATATATGTTCGGGTCGGAATTACTCGTTAATTATTAATTTGTCTTGAATTCTTTGTAAATTTATTGTCAATTTTTTTTTTTCATTATTAGAATTGCACATGACATTAGGAAAATTTAGTTGACTATTTTGTGTGAATTGTATCTGTATTTTGCTTGTGGTCGTTGTTGTTTGCATTTTGTGTTTTGTGCATTTTTGATAAAATGACAACACATTTTGAGTAGTATTTTTTCTAATGGAAATATGTGATTTTTTCACTTTGGCAAAAAGAAATGGCAAATTTTGGTCTAAGGCAAGTGCAAAAAGTAAGATGTATTTTAATTGCGGTAAATTTGGACATGATGAAAGAGACTATCTTAGGAAGGATGATAGAAGGAAAGAAAAGAGAGAGGTGGGACGAATGTTACCATTGGGTCGAGTTATGACCCATGTGAAGTCTATTGAGAATAAACCTAGTTATTGTATGTGCATCTATGTGTAAACATTTTTGCACGTATGATCACTTAATTTTGTTGCAATGTTATATGTTACATTTTCAATCTGTTTGATGTGTGTAATTGTATGAATTGAAAGTGATTTTATTACTTTTGTGTAATGTGTTTGTATGCATAGTAGATTGAGATCTATGACATATTCATTTTGCTCTATAAGAGGCGTAAGAGAGTGTGGTAATGAGAAGAAAGAGGGCCCCTATTTTCTCATTTATTTTTATAAGCCTGTGTGGTTCATGAGATTATATAGGGCAACCATGTGTAGGTTATCTTCTTCCTCTTTGTGCGCCTTTTTCGTGAGTGTAGTGACATAACTAGCTCTTTTTTCTATTCTCATTGTAAGTGTCACATTCTCCCTTCCCTTTTGTGGGATAAATCCTTTGTGGGCTTTTTTGAGCGTTGGTGTTGGAGTAACTGTCACGCGTTTTCTATACCGTAATTTATGTCGCAAGTGTACGGTGTCAAGTTTTGTAATATAATAAATGCCTAAGGGTACATTGGTGATATGTACGGGGGATGTTGAGAGATGAAATTTGGATCACAAGTAAAGAGGTAATTAAATGTCTAGAATCTCCTATCTGGTAAGAACTTGATGAGGTAAAGTCTGAGAGCGACACTTCTATTAGATAGAGACCTATTATCCAATTAGATTGAGAGAGGTGATGTAGTGATAGGGGATTATCTCGTGGATTTAGGATATATTGTGGTTTACTAGTTAGGCATGAGTTAATAAACAGTCTAGTGTGCATGATGGACGATGAGATGAGATATGTGTTCTCGAGGTTCGAGTAACATGAAATGGGATAGGATAAGTGTGGTGAGATTTTTTTGTGGGGTCATTTATACATTTGTTACATATGCATTGACCATTTGATTGATTAACTTGGTGTTAGTCTGTTATTATCTGTGAACATATTTTAAAAGATCTGTGTGTTACCCTATATTATATCTTCATCGCATGTTATTTGCTCTTGATTAATTAATGTAATTATTTACTTCTACTTGAATGCTTTTTTACCTTAGCCCTGACGAGTATATGGAGCATGTATAGTATGTGTTTCAAGTATGAAATACGAGGTAAGATTTGTGATACCAATTTTGTTTGGTAACCTTGATTATGCAAGTAAAACTTTGTGCTTTAGTTTCTTGCAAGTTGATTAGGTATTAAGGTGGAGATTTGTGATTTTTGATAACCAAAAAATTCAGGTGATGACGATAAAACGATGTTGGATATTTTATAAACTCCAAAGTGACAACTCGACTCGGAAACAATTAATATACTTTTGGAAGACTAAGTTTTAGTTGGATTTAGTGGTGATATACGGTAGCCCATTTAGCCTTTGGAGAGTTGGTCCATGTTTTGGTTAGTTGGGGTTTTGTGTTGGCCCATTTGAGGAGTTTTGGCCCATTAGAGAAGAGAGTTACTTTGGGCCCATATTGTGACCTAATTGTAACTAATAATATATGTATCCTTCCCAGCCATTTTCTTGTGTGTATGAGAGAGAGAGAGAGAGAGAGAGAGAGAGAGAGAGAGAATGCAATAGATAGAAGAAATAGAGAGGCAAATGAGAAAGAGGTAAGGTATTGGGTTTTCCACCATTGCTCATTTACATTTTTTCCTCCCTTTATGTTATTGCAACCTCACCACCATCATCTTTCTTTGTGGATGAGAAAACTTGAGGCAACCAAGGTGCTAAGACTTGTTGGGTCGAGTCGGTTGATTGCTGGGTCCCAGTGTCATTAATCATTGTTGGCTTTGTAAAATGCTGATTCTATGTATTACATGAAATTAGTGTAATAAAATTAAGATTATACTGATCTTTGATGCTAGACTCTTCGAAATGATCGAAATACCCATGAAGACACGACACGACATGGGTTTTTGTATGGGATATGTGTCCGATCCTCCG